TGGAATTGCTGGGTCAAATGGTATCTCTATTTGCAACTTTTTGAGAAAGCACCATACTGCCTTCCACAGTGGTTGCACCATTTTACATTCCCACCAACAGTGAATAAGGGTTCCAGTTTCTCACAATCTCACCAGCATTTGTTGCTTGTAATTTCTCTTATTTTTGAGAAAATATTTGGTAAGGAATCTAATCTAGCTATGTATTAAAACCACATTCAACACCTATTGAAAGTTCTTGATGAAGTTCCATTTAGACAGGATAAAGGAAAGAGTCTGCATTTCCAAATAGCATCGCAGGGAGCCTGATCCATGGCCATGTTTTGCTCTGCTGTGGTGGAAAAATAAATGGACACTGGGGTTAGAAAGGTGGGGACACTTCTCAGGGTGTCCACACCAAACTTCCCTCTACTAATCTGAGGTACAGGCTCCGTTTCCAGTCTCTGTCTTCCCATGTGTAACCCTCGGGAGCTCTGTGGTGTAGAGTCTCCCAGAGCGCCTGACTCCCAGCTGCTCCATAAACAAGGTGGACTGTATCTACAGCATCACTTACTCTTGGTTTTCTGTGAGTAGCTGGATGTGGTTAAACAACTTCCGGGAAAAAGATCACTGTTCACTGATCGTTTTCATGGTAACTGACAATGAGCATGGGCTTGGTTCTCACTCCTGCAAGCCTTTCAGAGTGAAGGTGCGCACTCAGTGGAGGCACATCGTGACATGTGAAAAGTCCTTTCAAAGCTGGTCAATCTGGGAGAGCTATCAATAAAAATAACTTAGTGATTTTCTAGTTAAAGAGAACTCTGCTAGTGTGATTCCAGGCAAGACCACGTGCCCCAGAGCTGAGAGGTCATGAAAACATTTGAAGCCAATGGTGACTATGTGATAAATATTACAGCAGACCTCAGCCCAGAGGGAGAGATGCTGACGGGCTTCCACCACTGATGGCTCTGAACGGATCACAATACAGGGTTCTGCACAGGGCAAAGAGAAATACGAATCCAAAGACAAATTCATTAAGGGGACGGGGCTCACTGGTCTCCCGGTGCCTGTGGAACCCCTGAGGCTTTGCCACCCTTTGGGCTGGAAACACACACTCCTGGGACTGAGGTATTAGTCAAATGATAAGCAGGTCCATGAGGTGCAGACCCAACAGTCAACCAGACAAATCAAAAGGGCAGCATTTCCAGCAATGAAGCTAAGAAGGCAAGGGGGCGGGGGGGACAAAGAAGGATAGAGGGAGACAAGAACCACAGGGAGGGATGGGGAGAGAACCGTCACAACGCGGGGACAGTAACCAACACCATAAAGCAGGTACGCGCGAACTGGCTGGAAAGCTAGCACGCTCTGTAGATTTTCATTCAAATCACAACAAATGCAACTGCCTATGGTACCAAATTAAGGGAGAAGAGAGGAAAGAAATATAGACATTATAACTTAAATTATGCAAAATAAATGTTTTGGGGAAGGAGGAATTAACTAATCTAAATGTAAACAGTGACAGTGCGACTGCAGATCATTTTTACTTCTATCCATGATAGTATCAATATTGCTCTACTTTCCACAAGATTCTGAAATATCAAGTGCAACTTTTAACTGCATGGCATGTTACAGGTGCGGGTGTGGGACACTTCTCTGCATCCGGCCACAGCGACTCAGTTTCTCCACAGCAGTGTACATGTACCACTGGTGCTGCCATTTTCACCCACTTTCACCTGACATTGCAGGGACACTGTGTGCATCAGTGCGGTGGACGGTCTATAAGTGCATGCTCGTGATGTGATCAGAACACAGAAGAACGTGGTCCACAATGATCTTACCTTTGTCTTGTCCCGCATGGAGCCTTTTCCAAGAATGGACATTTTTGTCAACGTTTCTTCCTGCAAACGCTTCAGGGAATTGCCACGTGGCCCCAGTAGTTTCCCCACAAAGTTGAACTAGGAGAAAAGAGACAAATACAACATTTAGCACTCGCAGCCGAAAGGCACTGAGGATTCTCGCTGTCAGCCAACGTCACAGTGCAGGATACAGAGCTGCTGACAGGCAGGTCAGACCCTACAAGGGAATCACTCCACTGGATGGAATGCAGAAACCACAGGACCTAGAACAGGGCTCAGCACTGTGAAGCAACGTTAAGAAAGGGCACCCCTCCTCACACCACGTGAGGGTCAGTGTTTCAGAGTTGTGAATGAAATGAAGTGTCCCAGAATTCTCAAGTTGCTTTCTGGTGCCAGCACCTGAGGGCAGCTGTGGGGTGGTGGCACCAGCTGTGACAGCTGTGTGTGTGAGGACCACACTGGGCCTGTGGATGGAACACTGGACTACTGCCCTGGGGCAGCACCTAACACAGCTCTTGAGCCAGTGGGTGGGATCCTGAAGGAAGGGCCTTTGCAAGCGTCCAGCAACTTTATGGCAGTATCTCCATGACAAAATCTCTCTCTTCTGAAACAACCAGCTTTGAGACTGTGGACAATTTATTTAATCTACATACTGGAGGTGAGATCTGAAATCTGGCTCTCTTGGATACCAACTGAGGGAGCCTGTGAAAATTAGGTACTCTCTTGCTACCTCCATTTCCTCATCTGTGAAGTGGGAACAGCAACAGAATGTACATCCTTAAGGTTGTTCTGGGGATTCTGAGGGCAACACATAGAAAGCACTGTGAATAATGCATGGCACCTAAGAGACATTCAATGCACAATACAAAACACACACACAAATCCATGAGCTGACCCACCTGCTCCATACACTTATTCCTCAAAGGCAATCTGTTTCCAGATCTTTTAACACTCTCTCCTGTCCCTTTTCTTCCTTCTCTAATTACTGCAATGCTATTGCGATTTCTTGATTTTCAGCTTTCTACTATGGTAAACACAGGTTTGATCGCTTCCACACACTTCTCTCTCTTCCTCCACTAATCTCTCTCCTGGCCATATCAGAGTCTGTTTCCGGTTACCAGTCACTGGATGTCACTATTTCACAGTACACATCAACACTGTGGATATGTGGGGAAACTCCATGGCTAAAGTTACCGGGATCCTCCCACAATAAGTCAACACTCATTCCTGGATGACAGTCCAGCTGGGGATAAAAGTCCAGAGGGAAATCCGTCTCTCTGAAGTTGTTCATGGTGTTGAAGTGTGCTGCTCACATGAGTAATGTAATTCTCACTTCTGATCCCTGGTACACGGCTCCATGATTGGATTTACAGTCTTGTCTATACCTTCAAGGAAAAGGGGGGGAGGGGACTCCCAACCAAACAACAGTAACAACAACCAAAAACCCAACCTCACTGCCATCAAGTCAGTTGTGACTCACAGTGCCCCTCCCATCAGGCTTCCAAGGCTGGACATTCAACGGGAGGAGACTGACCATCTTTCTATACCCTGCTGTTGCTGTTGTTAGGTGCCATTGAGTCGAGCATGACTTGCAGCAACCCTGTGAACAAAAGACATGAACACTGTTCTATAACTATTGTTATAAATATTGTTTCTCTAAGTTCATAGTGTCCAGAGGCATGTTGTTTAGGAAATGGACATCACTCCTGCTTCTAAACATGCCTTAATCTGGGAACTCCAACAAACACTGTCTACCATGGGTAACCATTATGGCATTTGACACACAGTGGTACAGAGTTCAGCATTACAGCAATCTGAGGTTACCTCTGTACAGCAAACTGACAGACCAGTGCTATACCACTTAGAAAAAGGTTCCTCCAATACATAACACTAGGCATGAGGGCCACAGGCCTGAAGCCCCAAGATACTTTTAAATACAAAGGCTGTCCACCAGGTTCTGCTGACTCTAAACAAGAGGCTTAAATATATCTAAACAAGAGGCTTAAATATAAAAAACAACCAATCAAACGTTATTGTTGTTATGTGCTGTCAATTGCGACTCATAGCGACCCTATGTATAACATTCCTAAACTCTGCTCTTTCCTGTGCCAATCGCTTTGTCTCTGACACTCCCATCCCGATTACACCAGTCACTGAATCAATCCACCTCATAGAGGGCCTTCCTCTCCTGCACTGTCCCTCCACGCTACCAAGCATGATGTCCCTCTCCAAGGACTGCTCTCTCCTTACAACATTTCCATAGTATGTCAGATGAAGCCTCAGAATCCTTGCCTCCAAGGAGCTGCCCCCGGTTTAACCCTTTCCAGGATGAATCTGTTTGTTTTCCTAGCAGTCGATGGTATTCTCAATACTCTTCTCCAGCACCACAGTTCAAAGGCATCAATTCTCCTTCTATCCTCCTTGGTCATTGTCCAACATTATACAACTTATAATTTTGCTGTTGTTGTTGTTACGTGCCATCAAGTCACCTGTGACCTAGAAACCCTACGTACAGCAGCTCTGAACCCTGCCCTGTCCTGAGCCAGTCTCACTAATTCTGACACACCAATCCCCACTGTCCTTGTTACCATATCAATCAATCTCATTCAGGGTCCTAAATGTAAACTATCGACTTTAGTCAATAACAGTGTATCAACTCATTATAGATTTCTATAGCCTGGTGTTCTCAAAATTCTCAGAAAGCTCTTGGCCCACTGATTGGGTCAACAATCACTAGACCACTCCAAAGCGTCTGTTAAGTATTACATATTAACTAAGTTTAAATTTATTATAAAATAGACATTAATATAAAACATCAGCAATTATTATATATGCATACTTTAAATAGTATGTATCACTGAGATGCCATCTCTCATTTTCTTTTCTCTGTGCTATCCTCCTTGGAATACTATTACTTGGATACTAAGTCACCTGTGTTGAATCTCTAAATTACTCCCTAATTTATCCCTCTGACACATTCTTTTTTATTCTCTCTTTATTTTATAATATTTCACTAAATTTATTTAGTGATAAATTTATAATCTATTCTTTTTTCTGTACTATCAAATATTTAATTCCTACTAGCACTTTCCTATACTTGCTACATTTTGTTTATGGTTTATGGAAGTAACAGTTTCTAAAAGAAGCCTTTGTGGCATCATAGTACTGTATCAGACTGCTAACCAACAGGTCAGGAGTTCAAATCCACTAGGTGCTCCATGGGAGAATGATGGCAGTTTCTTCCCATAAAACATTTGCAGCCGTGGAACCCCAGTGGAAGGTTGGTATTAGTTGGAAAATACTTAAAGGTAGTGGAGTTTCTTTCATTGTTACCATAACACTGGGTTGTTTTTTTTAATATTTTTAATATCATATAGTTGGCCCTCTCCGTCTTGTGGCCTCCAGTATTTGCTTCTCCCACACCCTCCCCTTCTTTGTCCACCTCTGCTCGTCATCTGGTCTTTCTACATGTTCAGCTTTCCTCCAATTTTTCTGCAACCTGTTCATAAAAACACATAAAAATGTTGGACAATGCTGGCTTGAAGTTTTATTTTTATATGTGACACCAATTGATAAGTCTTCACTCTAAAGTATATGGTAGCAAGATTCCTTTCACCAAGATCTTCTGAAATGTCAGAATCTCAAGTTCGCTTTTCCAGGACAGTATATTTCCTGGGAGAAGAATTCTGAGCCCTGAGCAGGATGGAAGAGCCTGGCACCATCAAGCAGCACAGGGCTCTGTGAGGTGACGTCCTCATTTTCAAGGCGGGGTTCCCCTCAGTCTTCAGTGCACAGGCATCCTGGTGCCCACAGCTTCACTGACACAGTCTCTCCAGGTTGCTAGGGTGATGAGTGAGGGCAGCTGGCTGCCTGTGCACACACACAGCTGAAGAACAATATCTGATGGCCTCGCTACTTCTCATACGGTTTAACCAAGCCTCCTCTTTTCAATTCCACCCTATAAATCCAGCATCACAGTAATTGGTGTCTACAACCCCCAGCCTTCCCACGGTTTTCCCACACTAATGAGCACACGTCGACTTGGCTGCTGCTTGTTCTGAAAGCTCAGGGCTCTGCTTCCTCGGTCCCCTAAGTCATTACCATTTACCCATTTATTTTGCAGCCACCAAAATTTTACTGGCTCCACATGTCTGCTGTCCCCCAAGCTCCCACTGTTATGCACCAAGCAGGAAGTGTACACAGTTTTGCATGTAGTTCAAAAGGCGGAGAGGAAAGAAATAAAGGAGTGGGAAGTGGGGAAATCATTAGGATAGCACAGGTTACAGGGCAGACAGGGAACTGAAGAAAGAGGAAAGAGTCAGTGGAAACTTGAAAAGACAGGGTGATAACAAACATAGATCAGTAGTACTAACTATATAAAATACAATGTATACGAATGAGTATATAAAATACAATATACATGAATGAAACACAATGCAAATAAAAGACCTTCAAAATACAATGTATATGAGTAAAACACAATGTACATGACTGAAATACTATATATATATATATATATATATATATATGAATAACTGAACGGAAATAAACAAAAACATGTAAAAAATAAAAATTAGGAAATAAGCATGGACTACAATATTCTCTTATATTCACTTTAGTCAGTCTTCAAGATGGAATGAGACTAAATGCATGTGGTCAATTAGCTTGATACACGTTGTTATTTACTATTAGAATATTTCACAGTCAATAACAATGAAGAAGAGATTTCAGAAATCAAAGATGTCATGCTCTAATTTTCTAGTGATGCACACCATGTGATCAAGTTTCATTTGGGCAACTTGTATAAATGTTATCTAAAAACACAGGATTCTAGAAGATAAGGAAAAGAATTCCATGAAGTTACTTACTTTTAATAATTTCTTTCTCCATTTAAAGTCTAATCTCTTTCTGAAATACACACACACACACACGTATGCTACTGTTGTTGTTAAGTGCCACTGAGTTGTAGGTGACTCATAGCGACCCTATGAACAAAAGACCGGAACACTTGTATAACTTTTGTCGTTTCTCCAAGTTCATAGGTTTTCTGGAGGCAAGCTATTTCGGAAGTGGATGCCACTCCCGCCTCCAAGCTTGTT